AAACTAAACTCCTCTCTACAAAGCCAGAACATGTCATAATTTATACAGAAGGATACAAAATGGATATGAGGGTAGGTTACATTGTGTCAAAGGAACAAAAACAAGTTCCCTCTCACAGTCATTTAGCTAACACATGTAATCTGTTCTGGGAAAGGGTCTTATGAAACAAAGGGGGTTTTGGTTATTGGGAGAAAGACAGGAACTCTTTTGTTTTGGAGGTTTGGGGGCTCTCATCGAGTGTATACAATTTGGGGTTTATTTGGCTAGAATAAGTTATTAAACAAATGTCTTGGAAGGAGGTCTGGTATTTTGCAGGGTGGGTCTTATCTGTATTGGGGCATAAACTGAGTGATATTACATATTATTACCGAGGGGTGTAGACTTGTACTACCATTACATAACACTATATAAAGGAATTGGTGTGCACCTAAACTTGGACTGCAATTTTAAGAAGGATACATCATTCTGGATAATCACCATTCGTTCATCATTTCTTTCCTGGGCCTTGATAACTGCATAGATAAGGTGAGAATATTTCTTCTAAGGTATTGATAGTTGCTCACTCAATGCAATTAAAGTATATAGATTATTATTAATGCATGACATATTTCAGCATGAATATTTGTGTTTAACATCTATAATGTACAATAGCCTAGTATATGTGTTATAAATGATTTAAAGATGTATGTGCTCCATTGTTATGATTGTAATTTTGCAAATGACCTTGTATGTAGTGTAACGGCATGATCGAAACCAAAAAGGTACAAAAAGTTTGAAGTTGAAGACTATCAGGCCAAATAGGAATTATTCATGAATCAGTTCAACAAAAAGTATGATGATGCGCCCAGCACCAATCCTGCTTGCATCAGAAAGAAAGAAAAAAAAAATTGTTATTGTCTTGGTTTGTAGAATAATCTCATTTTGCATATCATTCTTGACATGTTTGAACTGTTTATATAAAATTACTAACCAATAATTCAAATGTTTTTTCCATTGCAGCTTCACCTGTGGAATGGAAAAACTGTTGTCGAAGGAGACTGGGTGGCTGTGTTTTATTCAGGCAGCAGATTTCCCCCCATTGGACAAGTTTCGCACCTGGACAATGTAAATGGTATTGCCTCTGTCCGATTTCTGAAAGGGCGGAGGCTTTCCAAGACAGATGTTCAGGACGTGGAGAATCAGTTTATCATTTGCACCCTTCGTGTACAGTACGTGCATGAAAAGGATGAATTTTTCACACACCCTCTTATGAAGGACAAAGTAGAAATTGCTAAACAAATGAATAGTGAATTTCATATGTGACTCCCTTTCCTCAAACCCACATAAAGTGGCCAGATATATGTGCTATGAGCCAAAATGTGTGAATTATAGTAGGCTTGTTGCATTTTGAGGTACGATGATTACTAAGGACACATATTCCTTGGATCAAAAAAAAAAAATTTCATCCAAACTCTGTATCTATGCAAATTAGGTCTAACTTCCATAATTTATGCAAATTTATTCATTGTAATATGATATTCCATTACAATGGTGTCTTTATTGACACATTTAAAAGAGAACATATTTTTTGGATCAAAAGATTTGTTTTGTTAAGCTCTGTTTATATGCAAATTAGGCCTAATTTGCATAATTTATTCAAATGTATCATAGGCATCGTTAAACAATGTTAAATCTGAGATGCACGGCCCTACGTGTTATCAGTGTCTGTGACATTGTGTAATATTGAAGCCCTAAAAAAAATCGCGCTTCAAAATGATCAAGAAGTGCCTCAAAAAAGTTTTTAAAAATCTGTGACCGGTTTTACCAAACTTGTTTTCCCCAATAGACTGTAGTGTGATTTTCCAATCATAAATATCTTAATAATCAGACAGGCGATCGGCTTGTAAAAGTCATGGGGTTCCTGATTCACCTAAAGGTTTATAATTATCATTGCAGCATGAGCTAACTCCAGGATTTTGTTTCAGAATCTAAAACAAAGTTACCGGATCCCTTTAATGGAAATGGAATATCTATTACAATGGTGTTTTTACCAAGATATTGGAATTTACATATTCCTTGGATCAAAAGAAGAAAATTAAGCCAGAGACACTCTGTATGTATGCAAATAAGCAAATTAGGCTTTATTTTGTGAGATAATGAAAAACTGAGTGTAAGACTTGAAAATGTCTACAATTTTAATGACAGACATTAAATGCATAATTTTGTATGAAAAATGGTTGAAACCACTGCTTTTTAGAGAGCACCCTCTTTTGTTTGAATGGCTTTTTTAAAAATAATGATGGGCCTTTTACTAAGTCACTTTTTCTTTACCTTTCGAGCATGGTGGTGTTGTACTTATGGTGGTGTTGTACTTATTTGTTTGTAATGTTATTGTGCATGTTTTGGATACTAAAGCTCGGCCTTGCCAAAACTATACCACCCCTTTAATGTAATCAGTGTAAAGGCATATCTTTTCAATGCTACACATTGATGATTTAGGGAGTAGAGAGAAATTAATGAACAGATGGATTTGTGATGTAACCAGTTGATTTTTCAACAAAATTAATATGTCCAACAGATAGGGTGCCCTTTCCAATGAAAACGATACCAAGAATAGTCCTTTTGGTAGTGTAGTTTTGCATCTCTTAGAGTGACACCATGTCAGGTTCCCTTTTTTGTCAATTTTTACCAAGTCAATGCGCCTTAGCGTCGAACAATGAGCAATACGTATGCCATTATTAGTGTGCATTCAGCTGTGTGCCAATGATGGGCATAGTTGCTCGATGATATGATGACAGGAACTGCGATTTATAAGGAAGTGACTTGGTAAAAATGGCAAAAGTGGGAACCTGACATGGTCTTACTTAAGACGTCTTACAACAAAAACTACTCGTCCAAAATTACTGTTCTTGGTATCGTTTCTCATCTGAACGGACATTCTATCCGGTGGACACAATCATTTTGTTACTTTATTTTGGAAAGTTCCCCATTGCATTGTTGTTGTTGTTGTTATTTTTTTTTTTTTTTTTTTTTTTTTTTTTGGGGGGGGGGGGGCTCCCTGTTAATACATAAACCATTGTTATCAGAGCTAGTTTAAAAGTTGTTTCAATGTAATTTGTAATGAGTGTAACAATGACAATTTTGTTTTCCTTCTATTTTTTTCATATATAGATAATGTTTAAATATCTGCATTACTGAAATGATCTTTGAATTTTTCAAATATTTCTATAACTAGAATATTCATGTTCCTATGATAATATTTTGAAAAACATAAGTCTTCCATATGTATTCATTTAATTCAAATAGTAATACAGACCTTTCACTCTGTAATAACAAGCATTTTTCACTTTCTTAAACCCATGTTACATTAACCCATTTATGAGTGGTTCCCAAAATGTCCTGAACAGGGGAACATGGACTGCAGTTGATTACCAGCACTTGTAAGAGTAATAATAAAGTGAATATCATATATATATATATATATATTTTGAATAAAAACTACTTTGTTGTTTCAAAGATTTGATTATGATTGATATACATTGTTCTGTATGAGATAAGTGTCACATTCAACAAACCTTGGACAGATCAAGGTGTGCCAATTGCATACCTCTGAAAGAGTAAAGTGTGGCGATCGACGAACCTTGGTAACAATGTGGCGTGGAGATCGACGAACCTTTGAAAGAGTAAAGTGTGGCAATCGACGAACCTTAGTAAGAGTATGGTGTGGCGATCGACAAACATTGGAAAGAGTAAAGTGTGGCGATCGACGAACCTTAGTAAGAGTATGGTGTGGCGATCAACGAAAATTGGGAAGAGTAAAGTGTGGCAATCGATGAACGTTGGTAAGAATAAAGTGTGGCAATCGACAAACCTTGGACAGATCAAGGTGTGGCAATCGACAAACCTTGGACAGATCAAGGTGGGGCAATCGACAAACCTTGGAAAGAGTAAAGTGTGGCAAACGACGAACGTTGGTAATAATAAAGTGTGGCGATCGACGAACCTTGGTAATAATAAAGTGTGGCGATCGACGAACCTTGATCAAAGAAAAGTGTGGCGATTGACGAACCTTGAAAAGAGTAAAGTGTGGCGACCGACGAGCCTTGAAAAGAGTAAAGTGCGGCGATCGACAAACCTTGGAAAGAGTGTGGCGATCGACTAGCCTTGGATAGATCAAGGTGTGGCGATCGACAAACTTTGGAAAGAGTAAAGTGTGGCGATCAACGAGCCTTGGAAAGAGTAAAGTGTGGCGACCGACGAGCCTTGGAAAGAGTAAAGTGCGGCGATCGACAAACCTTGGAAAGAGTAAAGTGTGGCGATCGACGAACCTTGGTCAAAGTAAAGTGTGGCGATCGAAAAACCTTGGACAGATCAAGGTGTGGCAATCGACGAACCTTGGTCAAAGTAAAGTGTGGCGATCGACAAACCTTGGACAGATCAAGGTGTGGCAATCGACGAACCTTGGTCAAAGTAAAGTGTGGCGATCGACGAACGTTGGTAAGAATAAAGTGTGGCAATCGACAAACCTTGTACAGATCAAAGTGTGGCAATCGACGAACCTTTGATGGATACTTGCAAGAACATTGTTCTATAACGACAAAGGTAAGGACCATTATTTTCTGTAACCCAAGAAATTTGGTTCTATTTGAGTGAAAAAGTATTATTTTAGACCATCTGAAATTGCATGAAACGGTCCATTTTTTTAGACTTTTTTGGAAAGTCTACTTTTTTTTTGGAATGGGTTTATATATACTCATGCAGTCACATATTTTGGGGAAGATATTTTAGTTGCTAAAGATCTTTAAAAGGCAAATCTACAATGTACAGTGAAACCTGTCTAGAAAGACCACCCAAGGGAGACAAGAAAAGTAGTCTTTATAGGCAGGTGGTCTTTGTAGACAGGTTCCTTTAGTACATGTTTCAACGAGAAACCATTCAAGGAAAACAAAAAATGTAGTCTTTGAAGACAGATGGTCACTAAAGCAGGTTCGACTGTACATACATTCTATGATTTATCTTACCATCTGTAGACA